AGTTCTTTATATTATTAAGAACTTGAGTAAATTATTTTTGGTTTCTAAAGATTGTGGTATCTGGTCTTGTTGTATACTGAAATGTATTGTGGTCTTGGTACACTATGGAATATGTACTTTCTAGTACTCTGAGATGTACTTAAATTACTTCAATGCAAACTGAGAATGTTGACGTGGTATCTAAATCTGCTGTGATGAAATTTCTCAGCTCACTTTGACGTGATATGAAAAGACATTCCAAAACCCTGAGCAGATATTGTTACAGTGTTCAAAATTTTGAGATTATAATTATTATTTTTATTTATTTATTTTGACAAGGTGTTTGGTTTTATTGTGGTCTTAGTATGAAATGTGCATTTTCGAGTACTCTTGAGATGTACTTACATAGCTTCAATGCCAATTGGGAATGTTGACACGGTATAGAAATCTGCTGTGATGAAATTTCTCAGCTCACTTTGACGTGATGTGAAAAGACATTCCAAAACTCTGAGCAGATATTGTTACAGTGTTCAAAATTTGGAAATTATAATTATTATTTTTATTTATTTATTTTGACAAGCAATGTTCTTTGTTACAGTTTGATGAAGGCAAAGCCCTGTTTGAGGGAGACATAACGGAGGATGCTGTGAAGAAATTTGTTGCCTCTCAGTCATTGCCTCTGGTGGTGGAATTCAATCATGAAACTGCACAAAAGATCTTTGGTGGGGAAATCAAGAGTCATCTTCTTTTATTCCTGTCAAAAGAGAAAGGAGATTTTGAAAACCTTCTTGAGGGTGTGAAAGATATTGCGAAGGACTTTAGAGAAAGGGTAAGTACAAGGCTGGTAACTTTTTTTATTTCTTTAATTATAATTTTTTCCCTTTTGTCAATAATATTTATAGAATATAAATTTATGGAAACACTCTCTTAAAAAGTAAATCTACTGTGATGATAATTCTCAGCTCACTTTGATGTGATGTGAAAGGACTTACCCAAAACACTGAGTAGATATTAGTTATTATCATGTTAATTTAATATTCTTCTGGTTTTGTTGTTTTTAGTATTCTCTTTATTTCAGGTTCTGTTTGTATCCATTAATTCTGATGAAGATGATCACCAAAGAATTCTGGAGTTCTTTGGCATGAAGAAAAGTGAAGTTCCTGCTATGCGACTTATTAAGTTAGAGGAAGACATGGCAAAATACAAACCAGCTGATCCCACAATTTCTGCTGAAAATGTCAAATCGTTTGTAACAGACTTCATTGACGGCAAATTGAAGGTATGAAAATTACCGTATTTTATTGGAGCGTTTTGAATTCATTTAAAAAATACAATGGGGGTGGAGTCTAATTCAGATACATTGAAACTTACTACAATGATGAAATATTTTTTCATGATAATTGTGTGTGTTTTTCTCTAAGAAGACCTGATCTAAATTTTTATTTTATTTAATTTTTGTTTACAAGATATTTCTTGCTAATTCAATTTTTTCATTTACAGCAACATCTTTTGTCACAAGATCTTCCAGATGATTGGGACAAGAACCCTGTGAAAGTTCTGGTTTCAACCAATTTCGATGAAGTTGTGTTCGATAAAACAAAGGATGTTTTGGTTGAATTTTATGCTCCTTGGTGTGGTCACTGTAAGCAACTGGCACCTATTTATGATCAAGTATGTAATGGCTTCCTCCGATTCAGTTGAAATTCTTTTTATAAATATTTACAATATATCTACCTTGATTTTTAAAAATTGTTTATTTTAATATGCTGAGGAGTGTACAATTTGCATTCATTTCAATATAATAATGCATTTAGTTTCTATATGGTGTTTGGAAATACATAAATGAGTATTTACTTTATAAAGAGGATAAAGTATTGTGGTCGTGAGCCGGAAATCTTCAACTTTTTCAACACAGAAACTCATATTGTTTGACCTTGGTAACGATAAAGTGGCTTTGTAGGCCTTGATTTGGGGATCCTTGTCATCAAAAAATTGCTTGCTGGCAGAATGTCCGACAATTTGTCTGTTTCTCCGTCCGTCCATCTGTGCTCAACGCTAACACCTACACCATTCAGACATATGAATTTCATTGAAAACTGTTTGTAGGCTGTTCTCTTTACTTGAAATATTTCGTTAAGTTTGCCATTTACTTACTGAATACTTTGTGAATACAACTTTGTAATCACTTCTGCTGTGATGATTTAACAAATCATGATTCATGTTGATTGTTTTCCTCTAAGAAGACCTGAGCAGATAGTTTCCATGCTGTATTTTAGTTGTAGTTTGAATTTTTGAAAATTTTTGTTCCAACCTATCTTCAACTTGTGTATTGCAGTTGGGTGAGAAATTCAGCGATAGTGATACTGTGGTGGTGGCTAAAATGGATGCTACTGCAAATGAGTTGGAGCATACGAAGATCCAGAGTTTCCCTACGCTCAAGTTATACACCAAGGGAGACAACCAAGTAAGCTTCAGAAATTCTTAAAAAAGATTCTATTAACTGCAGTGATGAAATTCTTTTCATGAATAATACTGATTGTTTAACTCTAAGAAGACCTGAGCATATCTATCTTTAGTGACAGAACTTACGAAAGGGGAAAGATCAGGAAATGAGATTGATTTTTTTTTCAGGTTATTGAATACAATGGTGAAAGGACCCTGGATGGCTTATCAAAATTCTTAAGTTCAGGTGGTCAGTATGGTCAAGCTGCTCCTGATGAGGTAAGATTTTTTAAATTTTCATGAATGAATTATATTTACATTCAGAATAGTATACAGTAGAAGCAAAAAAACAAACAAATAAATTTACATTGAGAAAACTTCTTCTCAGGCTGAAGAAGAAGACGAAGATGATGATTCTCCACGAAAGGATGAGCTGTAAGAAGAAAACCAGTGTTGGTTGTACGTGGTTAATAGACTGAACTGTTTGCCCAGTCAACTTCGGGGACCTGACAGGTGTGTCACCTTGAAACGTTAAAATAGCTGTTTCAAATGTTGCGAAAGAAAAGTGACTGGACTGTTGACTATTCTGTACAGTGGGGACTGTGTGTAGAAATGAATTGTTCCTTATGTCTTCTTGTGAGTGTTAAAGGGCCCTGTCATTAACTCTGTTCAAAAGCTCTTTGTGGAGCTTAACATTTATCAGATGCTGCTGCTATTACCCCCTTCAGGAGCATAAGGGAACACGAATGCCAACTGGATATTTTTTATTATTGTTATTTATGTTGTCTTATGCATTCCACATAGAAATTCCTTCTGCACAACTTGGGGTACAAAGATATGCCTCCTTGTTATTTTAATAAAAAGTATATATTTTTAATGAGATTCATGTGTCATGTGGGATGGGAAATTAGACCAAAATCTCAAATTTTCCACAGCAGCAATTTAATAGCTGCTTGCGCGTCAGTGTTTTTGGGGCTGTGTAATCATGTATTACGCTCTCTTTACTAATAGTTAATCTGGTGAGGAAAGGATCAGTGTTAAAACTTGTTTAATACTAAATTTATGGTTCACATATTTTTTATATTTGGTAATGTATAAAGGTCATTTCTGTGAATCTTTGTTATACCTGTGATATTTTGCATTTGGTCCATAAATTTTGTTTTTTCCCTAACCCCTTGATACATTTATATTATTGATGTGTGTTGTGAAAGAGAAATGTTGTGATCTTGATAAGCTGCTTTATTCTCAGAAATGTCCACGTATAAATTGTTCAGTGTAAATGGAAGATTGTGGTGTGAAAAAGGGGAATTACCATCAATAATAATATTGTTGATGATAATGGTGAATCTTATACCTCCTCTAAGGAATCGGGTATAGAATTCAAGTAAAAGAAAACTTTCCAATTTGTCTGTGTTATCAATATTTCCCTCTTCATACCCATCCTTAATTTCATCTAGTTATTGCTGGTGCCGGCTAAACTGCATCTTGATGTGAAGAGTCACAACCGAGACTTCAATGTAAAATTCTTTTTAAACTTTGTCTTGATTCTCTGTTATTAAAAAAGGATTTACTGGTTTGTCAGTCACTTACAGAATGGAATTGCATTTAAGTAAATGTGCTTGTGGCTGCTGAAGCACATACAAAAGAAGTGAAAAAGAGAACATTTCGGTAAAAACAGCAAATATTAAAATTTTTTTTCGGGTTATATTAGAGGTGGTGTGGAATGTTCATGAACTCTTCAATAATAGTTGCAAATACATAATCAGCGTAATGTTTTGTACTAACGGAGAATAGGATTTTTGTGAATGTAAGGTCACATTAACTGTACGTGGAGGACCAGTGATGTTGAAAGTGAAAATTCAGAGTTCTTTTTGAAGACTACTACAGAACTGATAGGTCATGGGTGTGTTCTGAAAGATCCAATGTGAAAATATTGGTAAGTGGTGACATTGGAGCCCACTACTTCCCATTTAAAGCAAAAATTAGGCAATAGGGTGCAGTAGGCAGCTCAAATTGTTTTTTGAATGGAAACCATTGAATGTTTTAAATAGAAAAAAATTAGGGAGGGTAATTTGTTGCAAATTAGTGTAGCAGGATTTGTTTTTACACAATCCTATGTTGAGTAAATTAATGCTGATGTAACAGTAACTGATTTGCTGGGTACTTCAAAGCAATATTTTTTTTATAGAGAAGTAAAAAAGGAATTCAAACAAATGGCATGAGTTAAACCCAACGTGAAAAAGAAGTTACCAATTGTAAGAATCTCGTACAAGATGTTTGAAGTGAGAGTGCAATGGAAAAAAATGATGATAGAACATCACATTCAACCACGGCGACGGGATAAAAAGCAGCAAAAAGATCACCCGACTGTGGTTTCTTAGCTCTGCCTAAGAGGTACAGAACATACTCGACCATGGCTCTATTCATAAAAAATTGTTTTTCCCCTCACTGGTTTTGTTTTCGAATTAAGTGCTGCATTCGTATTTGAGGTTTGCCACCTTGAGGAATAGCGTGGAAGAAAATTTCAAATATCCTAATAATTTCACTTCTCCGGTTATCATTCATATCTTGACAACTCTTTATCGAAATGTAAAACAAAATAGAGTATCCATCGTTCTATACAAAAATATATGAATTTTAATTTCTTGATTCTTTTGGGTACTAGTGCGTGTTGAAAAACTAATTTTTGGCTCAATACAGCGATTTTTCGGAAGAAAAAAGTGCTTTAAGCGTAAATTTTGCTTGAAGTGAAGGCAATTTACATTTTTTCTCGGGTAGAGCGATGGACACTTTAAAAAGTGGCGGAGGTCTTACTTTCGTTGAACTGTTTCAACTATTGCAAAAGTTACAAGGGACAAAATTATGTGCTTCTCTAAAACTAGAATTCAAAATATGAAAATTTATCGCAATATTTGATAGAATTGTGAAGTGTGAAAACTAATATCGAATTGCGTACTAAGGCTGGGATAGTAGTGTCTGAACCAATTGTATTTGTTTTTCCTTAAATGAAAAAGAAAGAATACACACTGCGACACGGTTATTTCAGGATATCACAAAAGCTTTGCGACATACCACGCTAATTCGCATGAGGGTAATTCACGAAAAGATAATCGCCTACTATAACGGTGTATGGCATTTGATAGCAATGACTAGAATAATTGGTTTTGTATCGACTGACTTTAGACATTTTTAGACGTCTTTTCTTCAGATGATGTAACTACTAGAGAATGATGGCCGCAAAGAACCGATAAGCTCGAACACGAAAGTTGTGGGGGAGGGTAGAAGTTTGAAGACTGGACATAAAAAAAAAAGTATATCACCTCAACCTCGTGTTAACGCAACTACATTCGTTGCCGCAACCTTTTTCAGATTGCATGTTCAAACTTTCTCTCAGGCGTACGGCAGTGTCGGCGAAGATGTCATGGCAGCGAGTAGACGCCGCGAGAGGAATGTATGTACGTACGCACTTGGACGCAATAGCTCTTTACGAGCTAATGCCTACCAGGAGCGTTCTTGCCATTGGTTGAGAGGTATGTGTGCTTAGCACATAACCATACCTACCCTGTATTTCTCGTATTTCAATCTGAGAAGTGAGCAGCATCATCACACAGCAACAGATGCATTGCAAGGAAAGCACACCATTAATTTTTGTCCCGTCAGGGAATCGTACCCGGGGTTGCGCCGTGGAGTTGTTATTTATACATAACTTCAGTTATTTGTTTATAAATTTTCAGTAAACATTAAATAATACAATATTAGTTTATATATTAATTCTTTAATATACAACACAAGAAAGTTTCTTCACAGTAGCCAGAAGTTCCCTCTCCTGAAATCGATTCACTACTTACACTAGCGCCACTACAGAGCAGACGAACCATCGAAAAACTACATGGAAGTCCGTCCGAATCACTGTGTGCAACTGTATACGGCTGACTACCGTGAACCCTGCCAATCATCAATTGAAAACGTGGAAAAAGTCGATGGCAACGCAAAAGGGAACTCCCAAAGACAAAGAGTATTTTCAAACGCCAGTCTGTGTTGTTGAGACAGTATTTATTGTAGCCATCTCTCTTCTCTGTGAAGTCTTCCCTATGCAAATCTTATTCGCGCGGGGTGTACCAATGTTCAAATCCATCTTGATCCACGTGGACCGGGAGATGTGGCTTAGGGCATAACGGATGTCACTGCAGTGCCTCTGAGTGGGAGGACCTAGATTCGTGACCCGACAGTGGCAGGATTTTCGGCACCAGCTTGTTAGCTAGGTCGTATTCAGTCGCTGTCTGCAGGAGAATTCTAGTGGCCTGCTGCTCTGTTCGGTAGTTTTCCGGGGTTTCTCCGATAAACACAAGGCGAATGTCGGAGCAGTACCCTAACGGGCCGCGCGCGATCTTTCTTTCCTCTTCCTTGTTCTATCCGCAACCTTTTCACACACATTAACATGCACTACACTACCGAACACGCCAGGAGACCGGTCGGGAGCTTAGGGCTTGTCCCGCTTGGGCGGTGCCCCGGTGGTGGGAGAAACCTGGTTGGGGATATCCCGGTTTGGTCGGATTTCGCCACCCAGCGGGATGAGATCAATGCCACCTCGCGAACAAAATAATATGCACTACACTTACGGGACTAATGACCTTAGCAGTTGACGCGCATGGAATCACTAACAATCAATCCATCGATCAGTTGTATTTGTGGTAGTCAAAATGGGTTTCAGGCGTTTCTCGGCGTCCTCCCGTTGCTCCTACCCCTCGTTTCACCACTGCTTCTTTGTTCAAATCATTCTCATCATCATGACAATCGCCACTTCCAACCATTGATCTGGAGTGTAAACGAAAAGGCTAGGCACTGACGAGTACAATTATTAGGAATATACAAGTGTCATCGGAAAAATAAATTCATGAGGATCCTGACATGCCATGATTTATTCATTTATTTACGCCAAAAACACTTAAACACTGTGTGTGACGTGCTATGGGGAGAAGTTAATTTGAAGTTACATTTATGGAAATTTCAAATTTCCTAATAATTTCACTTTTCCGTTTTTCATTCGTATCTTGAAAACTCTTTATTGAAATGTAAAACAAAATTTAGTATTCAACGTTCTATACAAAAATATATGGATGAATTTTAATTTCTTGATTCTTTTAGGTACTAGTGCGTGTTGAAAAACAAATTTTTGGCTCAATACAGCGATTTTTCGGAAGAAAAAAGTAGTTTTTGCGTAAATTTTGCTTGAAGTAAAGGCAATTTACGTTTTTTCTCCGGTAGAGCAATGGACACTTTAAAAAGTGGCGGAGGTCTTATTTTCGTTGAAATGTTTCAACTATTGCAAAAGTTACAAGAGACAAAATTATGTGCTTCTCTAAAACTAGATTTCATAATATGAAAATTTATCGCAATATTTGATAGAATTGTGAAATGTGAAAACTAATATCGAATTGCGTACTAAGGCTGGGATAGTAGTGTCTGAACCAATTGTATTTGTTTTTCCTTAAATGAAAAAGAAAGTATACACGATGTACCTACTCACGGCGAATACAACAAAGATACGAATTATTGGCGGTAACCAATAATACACACTGCGACACGGTTATTTCAGAATATCACAAAAGCTTTGCGACATACCACGCTAATTCGCATGAGGGTAATTCACGAAAAGATAATCGCATACTATAACGGTGTATGGCGTTTGATAGCAATGACTAGAATAATTGGTTTTGTATCGACTGAATTTAGACATTTTTAGACGTCTTTTCTTCAGATGATGTAACTACTAGAGAATGATGGCCGCGAAGAACTGATAAGCTCGAACAAGAAAGTTGTGGGGGAGGGTAGAAGTTTGAAGACTGGACATAAAAAAAAAAAAAGTATATCACCTCAACCTCGTGTTGACGCAAGTACATTCGTTGCCGCAACCTTTTTCAGATTGCATGTTCAAACTTTCTCTCAGGCGTACGGCAGTGTCGGCGAAGATGTCATGGCAGCGAGTAGACGCCGCGAGAGGAAAGTCTTTTAAAACAACAATCTCCACAAGGTTTCTAGGTAATTTGGTCGATTTTTTGACTATATCCCACATTGCTTTTGTTTTATTATGTGAGTTCAAAATATACTGATTTTGTTTCATGATTTTAGCGTGCCTTATTTCTTTTCTGAACAATTTGTATTTTTTCAAGTAGAGGAGGAAATCTTGAGATACGTTATGATGCTTAGAAATGAAAGAAAGAATTCGTTTGTTTTTACATGATGTCTTAATCCCTTGTATTATCCAAAAGTTTGTTCCAGCAGCAGTCCGAAACACTCTCTAACTAGTCCGCGCATGCGCAGTCTAATATTGGCCGTTCCAGCAGCAGCAGCAGTCAGTGATTGTGATAAGGAGTTGGGCGTTCCAGCAGCGTTGCTGATTAGTTTGAAACCAGTCCGAATCAATTCGTGCACTCTGTCTCAAACGAGAAATACGCGCATGCGTACTTCGGACCGCGAGTTTACGCCAACGCCAAACTTCGAAGATGCGCCATTTACGTTTCGTCAGGTTTCTGCATAGTTTTTTTTTTTATTCCGCTCTATATATTTTGACCC